CGAGTCCTTGCCGGCTGCCGGAAGGAGTGAGCTTTGCCAGCATGGCTGCCTACTCCACGGTGTGCAAGGGCCCCATGCCTTTTTCCTAAACCCGAAAAATGTCCTGACCAGTCTGGGCCAGAACCAGGGGGGCTGACAGGATTGCCAGGACCGTGGGCAACATGGAGGGGGCGGGTCCGTGCTCCAGGAAGGGGGCGGCGCTAAGGGGCCGTTCCCCATCGCTGCTTGGCCCGTGCCTCCCCTCCCTGCTGGCCCTCTGAGCTGCCCGGGGCGGTGCTCCCACAGCCGTGTAAAGGGACTAGGGCGGCGGCTGGGAACCACAGGCCCCTTTGTCCCCCCCTCCCGTCGGCAGGCCTGGTCTGAACGAAGTATCCCGATAACTTGGCCACCTTCATCTGCTCCTGAGATGTGAGTTTGTCGCTGACCCCTCCCCCGTGTGCTCTCTTCCTTCCTCGCCTGTCTGTCTCTTCTGTCTTCTCTTCGGTGAGTCTGGCGGCGCTGCCCAGACTGCGTTTGTCAGCACGCTTGTAAGCCTGTGACCAGGAGGAGGCAGCCAAAGGCAGTGCCCTATACAGCCCAGGGCCGGTCCGCCTTTGCCAGGTCTCTGGGTGGCTGATGAAACTGCGCTGGGCCGGTGTTTTCCCAGCAGGGAAGTTGCAAATGTCAGACAACACCAAAGCCAGAAACTGCATTTTCTATCTCTGCCGTTCTCTCTCCCTTCGTTTGTGTGTGTGTGTGTGTGTTCTCTCTCCCTTCGTTGTGTGTGTGTGTGTGTGTGTGTGTTCTCTCTCTTCGTTGTGTGTGTGTGTGTCTGTTCTCTCTCCCTTCGTTGTGTGTGTCCTCTCTCCCTTCGTTGTGTGTGTGTGTGTGTGTGTGTGTGTCCCCTCTCTCCCTTCGTTGTGTGTGTGTGTGTGTGTCTGTTCTCTCTCCCTTCGTTGTGTGTGTGTGTGTGTCCTCTCTCTGTGTGTGTGTCCCCCTCTCTCCCTTCGTTGTGTGTGTGTGTGTCCTCTCTCCCTTTGTTGTGTGTGTGTGTGTGTTCTCTCTCCCTTCGGTGTGTGTGTGTGTGTCTGTTCTCTCTCCCTTCGTTGTGTGTGTGTGTGTCCTCTCTCCCTTTGTTGTGTGTGTGTGTGTGTTCTCTCTCCCTTCGGTGTGTGTGTGTGTGTCTGTTCTCTCTCCCTTCGTTGTGTGTGTGTCTTGTTTTGCCGTCTGGGGAACGGGATTGGACTTCAGCAACAACCACGACAATGACCGTTCCTGCCCATCTCAAGTAACTTCTCTTTCCCGCCAACAAGGACAGTCGGTTCTTTCACACTCTCTGACAGGCTGTCAAACGAGGGTTTCTAAAAACTTTACCCAGCTTAAGGGAAGAGGAAACAGGAATGGGATTCAAATGGTCACCGTGTTTAATACGTCACATTTCAAGTACTTTCACTGTTTTTCTTTCATTCTGTATCTTTAATAAAAAATGTAAAAGATTTTTAAACAGACATGCCATGGTCCTAAGCAGTGTCTGTGGATCCCACTCTGAACCGTGTTTAACCCTGGTTTTGTGCTGGACAGAGGCTGGGTTATGTTCAGAGCTTTCCTTCTTTGAGCCCCGGTATTCCAGCTAAATTAGTGTGCCGAGTGAGCCTCCGGAAATGCATTCCCAGTTTGGCGCATGATCTGTGGACTCACAACAGGCATTCCCAAATCAGAGAGCAAGGGTTTAGCAAGGCAACTATGCGGTTGCTGAAACTGCAATGCAACTTCAGTAGCACTGTTGTGAAAATCAGAGATTCACCAGCATCGTTACTGTGAGACGCTCCAGCAATAGGCAGGGGAGGGGGCTTTTCAGCCACCCCACAAGCAGCGGCAACAGCAGATCTGAGCAAGGAGTCTATTCCCAGAGCTCATTTAGAGTTTGCCACGGAGACACTCCGCTTGCAGCTTGCATGGTCACTGTGGAGGGAGGGGTGTGTGTTCCAAGAAAAGGCAGCTGGCTAGTTCTGCATGGTAGGTGTGATGCTGTGGGCGCAAGCAAAAATGCTGCGTGTTCTGCAGTGTTAGCTGTGCTGCGGCGCAGTCCTGGTGGCCGATGGATTCCACACGTGTTTTTAGTCTCACTCGGGGGGGCAGTCATTTTTTGCTGGGGGCCACTTCAGACATTTTTGAAATGACCCCGGGCTGCACCGGAAGAGGCGGGCCCTCAAGCAGAAAGGGCGGGGCCGGGATGCTTCCCCACCCACACACCATGATTGGTCTAGGGGTGGGGGAGCGCGTGAAGACTTTGCCCCACCCCAGAGAGTTTCCCCAGGTGCCCACACCCCTGGAGGTGGGAGGAGACATTGTGCGCTCTCCCTTCTGCTCCCAGGCCAATCAGAGCTTGGGGGTGGGGAAGCGCGTATTGTCTCCTCCCGTCCTGCCAGGAGCATGTGGTGCTTCTAAGTGCCGCGTGCTCCTGGCAGGGCAGAGGAAACTTCGTGCGCTTCCCCCCACCCCCACGCCCTAATTGGCCTGGGGGCGGGGGAGCTGCAGAGCCTCGGTGGGCTGGATCAACCTGCTTGTCGGGTCGGATCTGGCCCACGGAGTCCCGTTTGCCCAACCCTGCTCTAACTGGAGTCACTCCTGGATTTATAGTTGACACTACATGACACCCTTGAGGGTTTTGTGGTGGGTTCACATGACATCTCTGACGATGTCTGTGGAAAAGCGACAGTAAGTTCGTCAATGTAGTTTAGCTTCTGGAACGCTGGTTAGCAGCTAGACTTAGAGGCGAGACGGTACCATGTGACAAGCCAGTAGATACTCCACAGGTCATCAGTAATCTTGGACCAGACCTGGAGAACCACTAACGTAGAGACTCAAGGCTTGCTAGCCTTACCAATCTACTCGGCAACTCAGCACTCGTGCAAGTTAGAAAGCATAAACCGTCTAGGTTGCCTGATTGAAGATCACGTTAATGCAGCGACTAAGCCTAGTATTTCTAAAGGGGCTGGGGGAACGCTGGCTTCTTCCTAGTACAGATTCTACAGCAATTCACTCTCTGCCTTTTGGTTTTATGTAGTTTGGACAAATCAGCGTGCAGATGTTCGCATCAATTGTTGCTCATGAGCTGGGTCATAACCTGGGAATGAATCATGATGACGAAAGGGTTTGTCACTGTGGTGCAGCAAACTGCATCATGAACTCTGGAGCATCGTAAGTAACTTTCCTCTATACCAAGTGAAGGGTATGTCCATAGACGATGAACAAAGAAATAGTCTTTGTATTTAGCATTTATAGGACGCTATTACTATTCAAAGCATTCTTGCAAACAGCTAATTGATTGTAGCGACACGCGTAGGAGGAAGCAAACATTTGGGGCAATCTACATGTGAAGCTAATACAGAATAAACCACAGTGTCCACCTACAATGGACTCAGATCAACTGTACAAAAGCACTTTTAGTGCAGAATAAGAAATGTCCCGAAAAAGAGCAAGTGTGGAATAGCTACTGGATTATCCTTGTGTTTGGGAACAGGAAGATTAGACGACTTAACTCAGGAGTTCCTGGCTCCTGGTCTTGTGTTTAAATGGCATCTCTTCCCTTGTGTTATTTCTCCAATTGTGACTCTGTTGGGGTATGTCTACACTACAAAGTTAATTCAAACTAACGGACGTTAGTTCGAATTATCTTTGATAGGCGCTACACTAGCGCTCCGCTAGTTCGAACTTAATTCGAACTAGCGGAGCGCTTAGTTCGAACTAGGAAAACCTCATTCTACGAGGACTAACACCTAGTTCGAATTAACCAGTT